AGGAATGGCAAGCTCTGCTAGCTGGTGCTAAAACCCCTTATCCTGAACTATTTTCTCAGGAGTCTACACAGGATGTAGATGGGTCTCCCCTCCTTTTAGAGAAAGCCAATTTTGTGGGTGACGACACTTCAGTCCATTGAAACAACCCTACAACTTCCCTTTGTATAAATCAAATTTCCTGATGAGCAGCAAAAGATGATCCCCTCTCCATTATAACCTGGAATATAGCGGGCTGGACTGTCCCATCAAAAGACCAACTATTTTTTGACTACATATCACAATTTGACATCCTCTTCTTACAGGAAACCTGGACCCCCACAGAGATACAGTTAGATGGTTATTGGACCAACTCTATCCCGGCTGCCCCAAGTAAGGTGGGTGGGAGGGCTAAAGGAGGTATTGTGACACTAGTTAATACAGCCCTGCAATTTAAATGTGCATCACTGCCACCTTTTCAGCCATGGGTTGTGACTACCTTACTTTTATATAAACAGGTGGAGATTTTGCTTTTTAGTATCTACATTCCTCCACTCAATAAGAAGGATTTGATCAACAAGATTTGGGCTGGCACAGAAGATTTTATCCTTGGCTGTTCAAACAAATACCCCACAGCAGCAATAATTATTGGAGGGGACTTAAATGCTAGGATGGGTCCAAATGATCAAGCATTATTTAATCAATTTAAGATCCATTATGATGAGAATGTAACAGAAGAACCCCTGCATTCCAGACAATCTAAAGACCCTAAAGCAAATCGGGAAGGTTTATGTGTAAGACAGATGACTTTATGTTTGGACCTTTGTATCCTTAATGGTTCCACAAAAGGTGACTACCCAGCAGAATATACTTATCGGGGAGCAGGAAGAAAAAACATAGTTGATTATTGGATAATATCATATGACCTCCAGAAGTTCTTGCAAAAGATGGAGGTAGACTCATGACTGGAAAGCGATCACAATTCAGTAATCCTTATTCTCACATTACACCAGAAATCTCTAAGGACTGGTTCAATCTACCTACCCAGGCTAGAGAGCCAAAATACCCAGGTAAAAATTAAATGGACCAAGAAAAATGCAAAGGAAGTTACTAAATTGATGTTATTGCCAGAAACAATAGAACTTCATACATCTCTACTAAAAAATAAGTTTGAAGGATCATACTTAGAGGGGTTTGAAACTTTAATTTCAAATTTGAAATCAGTTCTCACTAACAGAATACTAGCTCAATCCAAAAAGCCAATTTTAAAGAATTAAAATTGGTTTGATAGAGATTGTGTGCAACTGAAAAGGACATATAACAAAGAGTATAGGAAAAGTAAAAACACCCCTTCTGAGGATCACACTCACTACTTAAAGCAGTTGAAGGCACAATATAAGACCCTGCTAAAAGAAAAGTGTGGCTCTGAAGGAGTCTCGGCATAGATTAATTGCAGCAGTCAAGACAAAAAATACATCCCTTTTCTTGCACATCACTAGAGGATTGGGGAAATCCCCCCTACCCCCAACTAATCAGGTACCGATTCATGCCTGGGAAGAATATTTTAGAGAGCTATATACAGACCCTGACTGTGTAACTAAGGAGAGCCAAATTAGTTTGGACCAAACTCCTTACTGGCCCCCAGTTACACAAGGAGAGATATCCCAGTTGATTGGAACCCTCAAGGCTAACAAGGCACCAGGTGCTGATAATGTCTTGCCAGAAATAATAAAAAAGAATGCCAGTTGGTGGGCTCCACTCTTAGCATCTCTGTTTACATTTATAGATAAAACGGACCATATGCCAAGAGATTGGGGATTAGCAATTATCATACCAATCTATAAAAAAGGTAATAGAAATGACCCAGGTAATTATAGACCTATTAGCCGTCTGAGTGTTATTAGTAAATTGTATGCCAAACACCTAAACTATAAACTCCAGGATTGGCTAATTTCCGGGGGGATAATTAAAGATGAGCAAGCTGGTTTTAGAGAAGGAAGATCTATGGTGGATCATATCTTGGTACTTCACCATCTGTTTCAAAAATACACGAATAAAAAAAAATCCTCTTTTTTCGTGGCCTTCCTTGATTTTAAGCAGGCCTTCTATTCAATAACCAGGAACATTCTCTGGGAGAAATTAAAACGCACTACCATCAATAAACGCCTCCTTTTCCTCATACAAAAATCGTATGATAATTCCACCTTGAAAGTGAGGTGTAATCCTCAAGGGACTTTAACCGGCCCAGTAAGGGTACAAAAAGGGGTATGGTAGGGTTGCATCCTATCCCCCTCCCTTTTTAACTTTTACATTAACTCTCTGATCAACCTCTTACAGAACCCTGATTTACAGCCTCCAAACGTAGCACAACGTAAAATCCCAATTCTCCTATATGCCGATGATGCTGTTATAATCGCATAAACTCCAGTAGGACTGAAGAGCGCAATTACGGCAACACTTGAATTTTGTAAACAGAATAAGCTGGTCCTTAACTTTGATAAATCAAAAGTTTTAGTTTTTGCAAACAGACCCAGACAATACTCCTGGAAAACAGAAGGGTATAGTTTAGAACAGGCCAGGACTTTCAGATATCTTGGGGTAGTTTTCCACTCACAAAGGACATGGAAGGCACACCTGGATCACACGGTGCAAGCAGCCTATAGGTCCTCAAATGCAATTAAAACACTTTTTTTACACCAGTGGAGGGCAATTAGTACCTGCGGCCTTAAAACTTTTTGAGGCCAAAACATTGGCACAAATTCTATATGGGGCACAGTCAGAAATCCTTGCAAAAAAAAAAAAAAAACTTACTAGAACCTATACAAACCAAATTCCTGCGAGCCACCTCCAAATGTTCAGGTAAGAATTGAGACAGGCATACCTCAAATTCAGTTAAGAGCCTGGAAGATGATGATCATTCATTGGCTAAAAATGCATTTCTTCCCAGAGGGACTGGCCCGTCTAGTATTGACTGATAACTATCCCTCCCCCTGGAAACAGGCAATAAATCACAAGCTGGGCTCTTATGGGCTCTCACCAGTATTCTTAATGTCCCTAGGCTTTGACCAAGCAAAGCAAATAGTAATCAATAGAATGAAGGACATGGAGTTCCAAGAACTAAATAGGTTGGCTCGCCACAGCAGGGACAGAATTAAACAGGGAGTGTGGGAGTCAGCAAGATATCTAAATGATCTGATCTTCCCAAAACAAAGAATAGCATTCTTCAGAGCCAGATTTAATATTTTCCCATCAGCATTCTTTCAGGGCAGGTTTAAGAAAACACCAATAGCAGAATGGGTATGTACATATGTGGTAAAGGAGAAGTTGAAGATATCTCACATGTTTTATTGTACTGTGAGTTATATAGAGATCATTGTATATTCTCCCCTTACTAGAGAGATTGCCAGGGAGGGCAGACAATTTTTATGTAGACTTTCTCCTCCAGGATTCAAACCCAGCTATTACGCGTGCAGTGGCAAAATTCTGTGTTGCTGCAATGTCTACTAGAAAAAAATTGGTTTGTGACAATTTTTGGAGATAGAACAAACTTTGGAAAATGATATTTACACACATACTTATTGGCTCTCCACTCGTATAAACCAGGGAGTGCCCCTAACTGTTTGAGAACATGTATTTTCTTAACAGATATTTTTTATCCACTATTAATGTATTATAATGTGTCAGTATTTTTTATGTATATTGTAAATAGTGATGTCTATTGCTGGTCTAAAACCATAATAAAGTTATATTCATTCATCCAGGTCCATTAGTCGACGGGGGTGGACCAATCTAATAGGTCCTGCCTCTCTGCGGGGGCGGGGAAGCAGCTTTTGAGAAACTCATTGCCACCAGATTGTGATCCAACCATGACAAGGTGACCAAGGACAGGTCCACCAATTCCAGGTCACATAGACACTGCTCAGACAAGAACACCAAATCAGGTGTGTGACCAATATTACTAGTCGGGCTCTGGATGATCTGGGACAGGCCCATGGAAGTCATGGTTTCCATTAAATCTCAGGCTACCTCTGCCCCTGCCCCCAGAGAAGGCAGGTTGAAATCCCCCAGAACTATAAGCCTGGGGAATTCCACCGCCAGCCCTGCAGTGAGGTTCAGGAGCCCAGGTAGGGAAGCTGCTACACAGCAGGGAGGTTGGTACAGCAGCAGTAATCCCATCTTATCCCTTGAGCCCAACGTAAGAAAAAGGGTCTCACAACCAGGCACTTGTGGAACAGTGCTCTGGAGGCTATCAGAGATTCTCTGATAACAATAGCTACACTTCCTCCCCGGCCCTGAGGTCTAGACTGGTGCTATGCTTGATAATCCACTGGGCACATTTCTACAAGGGGAACACCTCCCTCAGAGCTCAGCCAGGTCTCAGTTATACAAGCCAGATCAGCTTCTCTTCGAGGATCAAATCAGCAATAAGGCTAGCCTTACTGCAGGCTGATCTGACATTTAAAAGCAGCAGTCTAAGACCAGGGCCACCACAGATCTGCTGACCAGGAAAATGAGGTGTGTGCAAGGGGGCAGAATACAAGACTGGTACTAAACACTGAGGTCGTGTTCCCCGTGCCTGCCCTCCCCCTTGTCTCCCATATCCCCATTACCTGACACCACTCCCATGCCTTCCCTGAGAACCATTCCATCCCCCATCCCCAGCACTCTTCCTTAGAAAGGGAAGAAAAAAAACCTACTCCCACTGACAGTCAGTTAGTTTATCAAGCTTGTCTCTTTCTTGCCTTTCCCTCTACACACTTATCCACTTCTACACACCAATCTCTACAATCCAAATTCTCCAAAATACTCTCTGCACAACACTTTGGAGTACCAACTACAAACACATGCAGCCGCTGTTGCCATCTTTAAAAAAATTAATAGTGGTGACCGAGGAACTATTGGAGGAGTAAGAGTAAGGAGACTCCAAAAGCTCTTACTAGCCCTGCTAAATACTTTTGCCCTCAAATTATATACATCAAATATATTCAGAACAAAAAAACATTAAGGAAAACAAAAATACTAACTATCTGTGCAGTTAAGAGACGTAACCTGGCTTCCTCAAATATTTCAGCAATTTGTTCAGGATCTCTCTCAAATGTAATATCTGCATTGCATTCTGGACATCTAAGCAATCTGACCAATTGATTAATTTCTTCTGCACTTAACTGGAGGAGGAAGAAAAGAACAGCAGTGTAACTAAAACAATGATAATGATGTTAAATTATTCAGTCAATCAGGGGAGGATTGTAAATATTCTTTTTTATTTTATATTCTGTACTAATATCACTCCATCTAGTTCCTCCCTACATCTTTACTTACAATTATACTATCAATTCCCAAGCAGCCTTTATCCTTTCTGCATATCTATCTGGGCTTATTTGAAAATTCAAACCTCACTGCAAGCTGAATAATGACCAATTCAATTGTATGATGAAAGCTGATTTCTTGTATTTAGTCATAGCAAATATGTAAATACCATATTAATTTATGTGTTTTCTAAACTATATTTTTATTTAACATTTGTATTACTTACTCTATAAGGATAATCTATTTTGATTGCTTTTTCTGCCATTGCCCAGTTTGCATCAGCCAAAAATCTATCAAGTTTTAGCATTGCAAAAGTGTTGGCCTCCATTTTTCTAATACGTTGAATAGCATTAAACATTGCCATACGCTTTGGAAGAGTAATATTACAAAGCCCTGTAATAAAAAAAAAAAAGGTTATTGTGAAATGTGTATGAAATATGTAAGCATTAATGAGTCTATGAATGACAATCTATAAATAAATCATGTGACTTTCACTACCAGGAAATTATTGAAGACCTGGTTGTTCTCTTAGGCCTTGGGACAGGATGACTGCAGAGGTTTTGTTTTGGTTTCAATCTGTTTTGGTTTATTTTTGTATTTTGCTCTTCTAGGTTAATTGTATTTTTAATCCATTGGATTTTTTAAATTGTAAATTGTTTGGAGACTGGGTAGCCTATAATTTTTTTAAAAAAAAACTAGCTCAACTTTAATGAAACTTTACATTCAATTTTAAGAGAAGGGTTGACTTCAATTGCTAACTCTATTTCCACCCATTAACCTCTGCCACATTTCCCACTTTTTTCTCCTGTTTCTCTCTTTGCCTTTACATTGCTTCTCAGTCCATATCACTTACTCTCTGTATTCAATGTCTTACTATTTTTCTTGAAGTTTCCCTACAAGTTCTCCCAGAGGTTATGTACAATCTCCTCATTACAATCTCAAACTTACGCTTCCTAAAGCAGCAGTCGCCAACCGGTGGGCCGTATCCCACTGGTGGTCCACGAGAAAATTTTGGTGGTCCTCAGAGAAATGCCACCCCAAAGCAATTAATCCAGGCTGAGGGGGAACACAAGGCTTTGCCGCCCACATGGCCCGGGAACACAAGGCTTGCGTCGCTTGCACTGTGAACAACACGAGGTAGTGAGGGGAGGGGGGGAAAGGGGGAGGGGGGAACTTGCCTGGCCACCGGGTTGCTTCTTTCGTCTTCTGTTTTTGGTTGCACACAAGGAAAGCAGCAAAAGTCTTTCTTTCTATCCCCCAAACTCTGCCAGAAATTAGTCTTTGCAGCCTCTTGGAGCAGGATGCCTTGCAGGGTCCCAAAGACTCATTTCTGGCAGAGTTTGGGGGATAGAAAGAAAAACTTTTGCTGCTTTCCTTGCATGCAGCCTCAGAACAGAATTCAAAGCAGGCTAGGAATGGGGCTGCCTTGGAAGGGGTGGGGGTTTGTGAGGGAGAAAGAAAAATCACCAGCCCTCAGGTTAGATCAATCTCCCTCCCCACTCCCTCTAAGAACGGAGCCAAAGCAGGCTAGGAATGCCACCCCAAAGCACCCCCCCAAAGCAATTATTCCAGGCTGCGGGGGAACACAAGGCTGTGCAGTCCACATGGCCCGGGAACACAAGGCTTGCATTAGGAACAATACAAGGTAGTGAGGGGAGGGGGGAAAGAGGGGAGGGGGGAACTTGCCTGGCCACCAGGTTGCTTCTTTCCGCTTCTTTCGTCTTCTGCTTTTGGCTGCACGCAAGGAAAGTAGCAAAAGTCTTTCTGTCCCCCAAACTCTGCCACAAATGAGTCTTTGGGACCCTGCAAGGCATCCTGTTCCAAGAGGCTGCAAAGACTAATTTCTGGCGGAGTTTGGGGGAGAGAAAGAAAGGCTTATGTTGCTTTCCTTGCATGCAGCCTGAGAACGGAACTCAAAGCAGGCTAGGAATGGGGCTGCCTTGGAGGGGGGGGGTGAGGAAGAAAGATAAAGAAAATCACCAGCCCTCAGGTTAGATCGATCTCCCTCCCTCCTCCCTCTAAGAACAGAGCTCAAAGCAGACTAGGAATGGGGCTGACTTGGAGAGGGTGGGGGTGTGTGAGGGATGTGTGTGTGTGTGAGAGAGAGAGAGAGAGCACAATCCATCACTGCTGGGGAATTAAATTCACGGGGTGGGGGTGGGGTGGGGATTTGGATGTCTCTGTGTCTTTTCTTTCCAGCCTCAAGGTGGGGGGGGGGGGGGGGGGGGGAGGGAAGGGGGGGTGTGAGAAAGAAGGAATGAAGGGGGCGATCCATTGCTGCTGGGGAACTAAATTCACGGGTGGAATTTCATGGCTTGACTGCTACAGAGTGACCTATATCAGGAAAATGTTAGATAGTACTGTGCATTCAAATGTTTGTCTTATAATGACTGGAATGAAAATGGAGTGGAAATGGGTATTTCGTGCTTGCTGACAAACTTTCATAAATGTGAAAATATAGGGGGAAAAATACTAGTTACACATTACTCTTAACAAAGACAAAACACCAGGACTTTGGATCCCCCCCAAACCCAAAGGATGAGAGGAGCCCTTCCTTTCCCTTCATTCACTCTGCCCCACAATTCCCATTTATGTTTATGTTTAATATAAAAAATAAAAAAATATATTAAATATATTATCTTCTTTTAAAAATTCATATTAGTGGGCCTCGGGATTTAAAAGTATGAGTTTGGTGGTCCCTGAAGTCCAAAAGGTTGGCGACCCTTGTCCTAAAGGATTCTTTGCCTCCTCACCATGCTTTCTTTCACTTTCTCCTGCTACTTTCTTAACTCCCTGCCCTATTCTACTTCTTTCCTAAATTTTTTGTTCCTTTGGCATCATATTCTCTTCTTTGCTGACTTTGGCCGTTATGTGTGTCCTGTAAAGTAACATATTAACACCAACTACAAGTTATTTTAATACTCAATTTTAAACGTTAGTTAGTTACAATTCACTCTTGTATCTGTTCAGAAGTTAGATGGGAGAAACCCAAAGTCAGTCTCTGTAGGGAATTGACATCTTGTTGTATTTCAAATAAATTAAACATAATGAAGATGTCGTCAGCATTCCAAGTAACAACCTCCAGAGAAAAAGACTCCGAAAAATTGATATTTGGACTGTGAATTACAATTTAGAATATAAAGATATTACGTACCATACATTGTGTAAAGAATGTTTTGGCTTTGACAGAGTATAAAAATTGAATATGACTAAAATAGATATAATATAAATTTATAGCATACTTATTGTGCATTCATATGTAGAAATGTGTTTGCATATGCACAGCTTCAGTTAAATTTGATTTGAAATTCTGTGTAAATCTGAAGTTAAAATTCTTATCCTTAAAAACTTCATTAAAGGATTCCAATTAAAATTACTGGAAAGTAGATGCATTTTATATATAATTTTCTTATTTAACTAAAAATTGGCTATATTGACAAGTTAATACATTTTCCTCAAATTTGCATTTGATATATATGCAAGTATTCAATACATTAATGGCATAATCCCAGACATGCTAACTCAGACATGTCCAACTGCATTCAGTAGCAAATATTTCCAGGAAAATGTACACAGTCTACCTGTTAGAAACTGAATAGAAAAACAAGTTTGTTTGTTTTAATGGTATGTTTAAGGTGTCACCTAAGGTTACAACCAGCGTCTTCACAGTGGTTGAATTAATAATCAACGTTAACAGTGATGCTGTTCCAGCATGCATTAGTATCTGAAACACACAAAAAAATATTAGCAACTTCATAAAATGTTCATACATTTATGATACCATATTTTAAGGGAGCAAGGCAAAGTAGAAAGAATAGATACATATAGTACAATTTCACCTAATAAGCTGATAAAACAAAATTAAACATAACCAACTATGCTAATATAGCCCTGGATTCTGAATTTTGTTTGGTCCCCATAAAAAAGGAGCTGAAAAACAAAAGGAGTTCATTTAGGTTCTCCACCTACCCCTGCACTGCCACTAATTGTTCACACCAATATTTTAACAAAAAACTTTACAATCAACACTAATTTACTATAAGAACTGACTTTTAAGAAACAGGGAGTTGAACTAGGATGCATTTGTCTCCAGATCTATTGCACTTGAAATTATAATGAGAGAATTAGAAAATAATTGCAATAAAAGCTGTGGGTTTAAGCACTAAAATTGCAATGACATAATTAAACAAGGTCAGAAAGGAAATATATTGATATCACAACAAAAACTGGGAAAGCTAAAACAGTGTCTTTCTAGTGGTAAAATGTAACTGTAAAAGTTGGACCCTGAAAAAGAATAAAAAATACCTTCAAATTATTTGTTTAGAGATGTTAACGAACTCAAAAACAATCAAACCATCAGTTCTAGAGCACAAGAGACTGATTACTATCTTGAAGCAATGAGAGACTGATTACTATCAAGAGACTGATTACTATCTTGAAGCAATGATCTTGAAGCAGAACCTCATTAGTTTCATTTTAATTATATTTGAATATTAATAGTCAGGAAAATAGTTAAAATACTGCTTTTCCCTGATCTTCCAGAATTTTATTTTATTATGTTTTGGATGAATTAGCTAGCACCTATAAGAAAATATTTGTTTGCTAGTTTATATTTTTTAACCTTACATCTCCTTCAGAGATCATGCTTTCCCATTATTCCATCTGAATATTATAACTAAAATTGTTAGCCCTCCTTATCATACATTGTTTGACTGAATCTTCTATTTCAAATTTTAACAAAAGTTTATATATTTTAGGAATTATACTGTATGTTCATTTGAACATGTAATTCTATTTCACTCAGACTTAGTTTTACAATGTTCAAAACCATAAATTTTGTCTATATTTTTCTAAAAATTGTAAATATGACAACCATTGAGATATCCTTCTGCCATTAATTCTTCTTTTGATTTTATTTTCCATTTCTCATGACAAAATTCTAGTATATTGTGGGAAGCCTCCTAGAGAATGAAATATTTTGGGGAATATTAAAAGAGGCAGAATATTACATTTCCCCAAAGGAGAAATGGAGAAAAAACTTTAACAAAGGCAGAAAGCAGCCCCAACAGCCTCCAGCAGTCTTTAGAGATGGATATTTTGTGTCCGTTAAGAAATCCAGACCAATCTATTCATAAAACACTTTCAGCTCCAGCTGAGGGGATTAAGAAGGACAGAACATGATTTTTAGGACCTAATAGGATTAACCCACCACCAATCAAATAATAAAAGCACACAAAGCAAACCTCAAAATTATAAAATAGTGTAAACTGTATAAAAATAAAATAGCAAGCTGCAGGATTAAATTTCAAACTACTGATTTTTTGGTATTATATTGTATTAAGCCACTAGAATCAGTAGGCTGAGTAACATAAAAGAGTCACCTTGGGTAAGACGGTGGCATACAAGTTTGATAAATAAATAAATGTCTGTGTACATCAGTATCAAAACAATTAGATGTTGGTAATCACCTTTAAAGCCCTTCATGGCATGGGTCCAGGTTACTCATGCCAGCAAAGGGGTCATATTGTGGGCTCCATCAGCAGGGTATTCCAGTGACAGGATCCAGGAGGAGAGCCTTCTCTGCCATTGCGCCTGCCCTGTGGAGCATCTTGCTCCCCAGAGTGAGGTCTGCTCTAACCCTCGTGTCATTCCACAAGAGCCTAGAGACCTGGCTCTGCCAGTTGGCTTGGGGGTCCAAAGAAGGGTCTTCATGTTGGGGGTGGTTGATAAATTAATATCTAATCCCATCTCTTCATTCTACTCCCCCCCCATCTTTTAGCTATTGTATTTTGTATTCTTATATTTCTGTAGTATTTTATTTATATAGTTTGTCTTTTTAATATTGTAATTCGCCTAGAGTTACCCTGTGGTAAAATGGGTGACTAATAAAATTAATAAATAAAATAAAAAAACAAGATACTCTTTTGATCATGTTAACATCACTTTAAACAAATGTTCTGTATGCTCTAGTTAGTAGTGTGATATTACCAGAGAAAAAGCTACGTAGGATTAGGTTAACAACTCTTAATGCCTTTTTGGCTATGTCGTTACAGTGGGCTCTAGTACTTAGGTCATTAGAGATGAGTACTCCAAGGTCCTTGACAGAGTTTGGATCATCAGCAAGGTCTTGACTATTCAGCTTGTATTTTATTTTCTGTTTTTTTTAGGGTGGTTTTTTTTTTTTTGCCAATATGTAAGACAGAGGATTTATCTGTTGAGATTTGAAATTGTCATTTGTTTGACCATTCTGATACATAGTCAATGTCTTTTTGAAGGGTAGCACTATTGACTGTGGTGTTGAATAGCTTTACATCATCAGCGAAGAGAACACAGTTGCTCTTAACATGATCACAGAGGACATTTTTGTAGAGTATGAATAGAGTTGGTCCTAGAACACTGCTTTGGGGGACATCACTGTTGACAGGTACAGAATTTGATAGGACGCTCCCAATTTTGACCATTTGTTGTCTGTTTGACAGGAATGCTTCTATCCAGTTATGCAGGTGTCCAAATACCATAAGATTTTAGTTTTAGGACTAGTTTGTCGTGTACCACTGAATCAAAGGCTTTACAGAAGTCTATGTAGATTGTGTCTATTGCTTTGCCCTGATCGAGTTGTGTAGTCCATATGTTTTTGCAGTGTAAGAGTTGCAGATTACAGGATAGTTTTTTTCCTGAAACCAAATTGCTTATTAGAGAGTAGGTTGTTTGCCTCTAAGTGGAGGATAATGGATTGGTTAATAATTGATTCCATGACTTTACAGGTGACGCAGCATAAAGAGATTGGTCTGCAATTTTCAACTAGGCTGGGGTCTCCCTTTTTGAAGATAGGGATGACCGTGGCTTGTGACCATAGGTTTGGCAAGGAGCTGGTCCTGAAAGATTTTTCAAAGATTATGCTTAGAGGTTCAGCTATGGCAGTAGATAGCTTTTTAAAGAAGTAGGCACATATTCCATCCGGTCCAATAGATAGAGATGGTTTTAGATTGCGTAGTGCTTTTTCAACATTGTCTTCTGTAAAATCGATATGTATTAGATCATTGTAGTTGTCTGTGGTTCGACTAGGAAATACTGGGCACGATCCATTGCTGTTTACAAATACTGAGCCAAAGAATGTGTTAAAGAGGTTGGCTTTAATGGTGTCATTGTTGCAGTCTTTACCATTAGGTCCTTTCAGGGGTGAGATGGACTTTGAGTCTTTTAGTTTGTTGTTTACAAAATTGTATAAAGCGCGAGTGGAATTGGTGCATAGAAGGTTTTCCTCTTGTTTAATGTGATAATTGGTGCATTCAGTGTTTATCTGGTGGTGTAAATTTTTGTATCGGCTTTTGAAGTTGGCAATGTGACCAGATTTGTTTTTCCGCCAAAGTGATTTCTTTTTGGATTGAAGCTTCCTTATTGTTTTGGGTAATTTGTTTTTTTCTGGTTTTGGGAGTTGTTATTGGTACATATAGTTTAATGACTCTTTTGACTTCAAGTAAAAATATGTTGTAATGGTCTTCAACAGTATTGCATCCAGTGAATAGAAATTGCCAATCAAGAGATGAGATTGTTGTCTATAAGATCATAGTTGCCTTTTTTGAAGTTATAAATGGGGATCCTGTCGTTATAATTATTTTTGTGTGGACATATGTTGAGACAAAAGTCAATCATGTTGTGGTCACTGTTGGAAAAGGGTTCTTTAATTTGTATTCCATAAATTGAATTCAAGCTATTGCAGAAGATGAAATCGAGGCAGTTGTTAAGCCTAGTATCGTTGGTTACTAGTTGTTCCAGTCCCAGATTTGTTACAGCATTGTAGAAGGTTGCATGTATGGGTTCAGTTTTACATTCTTTTAGGGTCCAGTTAATATGAGGTAGATTGAGATCACCAAAAAGATAAAAGTGTGGGGGCAGGATCTTGCCCATATTAGTAGTGAATTTAACTTGTTTACCTGTTCGATGTCATAATCAGGGGCTCTGTAACATAGTAAGAATTGAAATGTGATATTTAAGAGCAGTTCACGGACGATGGTCTCAGGAAGAGCAAGCTCCTGGGTAACTTGGATGTTTTTTAGATGTAGGGACTTTTTATAGAAGATAGCAACACCACCTCCTCTACGGATTTCACGATCTGATCGGTAAACATGATAATCTCTTACTGTGGTAATGGAGTTAGGGAGAGATGCATTGAGCCATGTTTCACAGAAAAATATGATGTCGAATTTAGCCGTATTTAGTAAGAGGAGAAATTCAGGTATTTTATTTACAAGGCTTCTTGCATTGAGTAGATTGCATTTAAGGCCAGTTGTAGTTAGAATAGAGGTAATTAGGGGCGTGCGTGCCTAGTTTTGAGTGATGGTGGATTGGATGAGGTAGGGTTGGATGTGGAGTTGCAGGTTGTGTGACTTTCTTTTGATGCAATCAGCACGGTAGTCAATGTACAGGTCCTTTTCTCCATTGTCTAGACGTTGTTTGAGTTCTGTGTGGAGTTCATGGGAGCAGATTCTTTGCAATATGGATAAGTCTGGTCTTGAGTGAAGTTTTTTTATGGTTGGGATTGGTTTTTACAATGGCATTTATTGTATGAATGAATATATGTTTGCTGGACTCATTTTTGCAAACAGCTCTACAAAATCTTCGGGCCACAGAGCCGTCATTGTATTGAACTCAGGACCATCTCTGGTTATTTCAATGATATCTTCAAGAGAGATGTTTGTTGTATTTGAGCTGCTTATTATATTGCGAACTTTGGTGATGTCATCTGATTCCTTGGTGTCTTCAATACCAAATAAGATGGCATTTGGACGTTTCTGATCACGTTCCATGATGTCTCTGATGAGTAAGGGGATATCATTTGTGGAATTATTTGATGGGGTAGTAATTGTTTGTGGCTGTGGTTTGGTGGTTATTTTTGGTTGTATTTTATTACCTTTTTGCTGAGATAATTAAGTTAATCATCACAGTTATTAAGTGAGACATCACATGATGGTGACTTGAGACTTTCCCTGCTCACTTCCCCATTGACTTTGTTGGAAGCTAGCTGGAAAGGTCACAAATGATATTCACCTGGTCGGAGGACACTGCACACACTATAAATGCGTGATGGTTGCCAAGTGGCTGACTCACAATTACAACCACAGGGATGCTGCAATAGTCATAAGTTCAAATTGTCACTAAATGAATGGTCATAAATTGAGAGCTACCTGTATACCCATGTTATATTTTTAATATAAATTAAATCTCACAATTTTTATAAGTCAAATTGAACTATATTTGAATTACAATATCCAATATGCTAGTATGCCTTCACTTCAAGGCTTTAAAAAGCAAATCCAGAGGACATTTTGCTAAAAAGATTTCCATAGGTTTAATTTCTTATATAAATTTATTAGAAATGTTGATTTTCAAGATACTAATTTATTTTTACCTGGTTCTTAATGCTAGCCTCAGCTGGAGTCTCACTCTCTGTCTGGCTAATTTGAAGAGCCATGTTCAAGGTAAAAGTGCCTCTCATTCCACTCCAAACAATAATAGCTCCCCAACGCCAATTAAATCCATAGCCGAGTCGACTCAAAAAAGGACTCAATGTCAAAATAACTAAAAACCTAAGTAAATAAAATGTAAAAATTCACAAAATTATATTTAAAATATTAGTGAAATTTTATATCATAATAAAATAATATAATTTATTAAACAAATATTTAATCATTATTATCTATAAAATAAAAGACTGCATTTATCAATCAATATAAAAGTTTGTTATTAAACAAAAATATATCATGTTATTTTTGCTTTCATATAAACACTGTCTTTTCTCTACAAGCCCTAAACAACATACATGGGAGTTTTCCCTTATTTTATAAGCATAAACCTGTAAGGCTAATTAATCTGAGAAAAAGTAATTGGCTCAAATTATGCAGTGAACTCCACTATAAATTGATACTTAATTGTGTACCTAATGGGAAGACCCTGAGTTTCTCCACCTCAAATTAAACAATTTAACCATTATGCTACACTGAATTTCCAATGTATTATTCAAATACTTTGTATACATTTTTTTCAAAAACATAGCAGGTGTTACAAAATCTTAATACTCTCATGTTGATTAATATCACTATGATTGGTTTTAAATTATACTGTAATTTACTGAGTTGTAACACAGTTTACAATGTCCAGGCCAAAGATGACTCTGAATTGCAGGTTGTTTTTTAAGTTAGAACACACACACACACACACACACACACACACACACACACACAACACACACACACACATACACACAATGTCAAAAATGTGGAAGTTTTTGAGTTTTTCATAAAGTTTTGTCCCCCATGGGCATGGTATATGCAGCACCTAAAACACTTGACATAATTCAAAATAAATTGTTTGGGGAAAAAAACACTGACATAATTCATTTCAACCACTATGGAAGAAGGGAAATACTTTCTACATTCAACAGCAAAAATTTAATGGGAAACAGTTCTTCTATAGCTTGATTACAATGAAACTCATTAGGAAATAATGAGAATAAGCGATATACATGCATGTTCAGTGACAGAGCTATCACAGAGCTATTCAACCAAAGAGAGCAATTTACACCAAGGGTTTCCATGCTAAAATAAACTACAATGCATGGATCAAAGATTTTTGACAGCTTGTTTGTTTGTTTGCTTACCAAATTTATATGCCACTCATCTCACAGTTCGGTGACAATAACTGTAGCACTAAGAATTTTATTATTCTGTCTGTGTGTTTGTGCATGAGCACGCGTGCATGCATGCTTGATTGTGGCTTACTTCCAGTTAAATGTTTAGAAGACAGCAATTTAAAAATATGATTTAACTGATATAATCTGATAGGCAATGTTAGTCAATTTCCAAAAAAGTAAAAAAGTATTTACCTTACAAGATTCAGTGAAAGGTAGACTGTCACAATGTAAAAAAAAGCACGAGAATTTATATTTGGAAATGTTTTTTGAGCTATCACAATTCCTATTATAAGATATATAATAATGTGAGCCAAAAATGTCAGCATGGACCAAAATCTGTTTTAAAAAAAGCAGATTAAGGGGGACATTAAAACATGTCAATGAGAAAACAAATATTGCAATTATTTATCATTTACTAGTATAACATAAGCTAAATTATATTTCTCACTATTGAACAAAAGTAAATCTACCATAAACATTTTTATTTTATACATAATAAAATGCATTTTATTATATCACTAACTTTTAGTTAGTAATAAATGTTAGCCCATTTGAGATTATTTTAGACTGGAAATATTTTTTAAAAATATTTTTTTAAAAGGAAACCAGGCCATCAAAGAACACGGTGACTGGACACTCAAAGCTGACACTAGCCAGAGCACAGAAAAGCTCAAAGAAATAGGGCAAGATCAGAAGATATGCAAAGACCTGGCTATTGAATCATCAAGAGTCAAACTCGACCAAATAGATGACATCATCATCATTTTTAAAACGTAAAATTAGATGAGCAAAATTTAACCAATTTCAATCTGTTTTAATCTAGACTATCTAGACAATCATTGACACTACTGATACAATCATTTTGATATCATTTCAACATTTCAAAACGTATTTACTAATGTGATAAGGGGATTATTTATTGATATGATTTTTATCCCATGTATATAATAGTTTATAAATAGCTCAAGATGGCAAACATTGCTAATACTGTTTATTCCTCCTAATTTCCCCACACCAACAGCCCTGTAAGGTGGGTTGAGCTGAGAGAGAGCAATTGACTCAAAGTCACCTAGCCAGTTTTTCAAACCTAAGGCTGGACTAGAACTGGTTTCCTGGTTCCTAGGCCAGCATCTTAACTACTAGACGAAACTTAATATAAAATATAGAGTATAAATTGTTTCTTTCCTCCCTGAAATTAAATCAAAACACAAAATATATAATTCTGTACCACTTCAATACAGAAATAATGGCCACATAACATGACATTTGAAATATTTTCTGTTCATTTCAGTTCTTGAGAAAACTATAGATTTTATAATATGGGGGCTTATAAAGAAACAGTTTGCTTACCTGTAACTTTGTCCTCTCTCAGTGATTGTATTTATATATCAGTCTCTGCATCTGCACAGAGCAAACTTTGAAATATTCTACAATTTATTTTTTAGGAAGCCTGTAATACTTTCTCTTGGGCACTAACACTGCATTTGCATTTACTTCATTAATAGCAATGTTTCAGAATACAGTCGCTATGTACCTACTTTAGGAGTTAACAAACTACATCTTGCAGGTCAAATTGGCTCATCACCATTTGTATGGCTCCTGAGCTAAGAATGGACAGGCTGGTTGGTGGCAGATTGCCAGGTCCAAGCTTCAGCCAAGATCCTAGGGTGAGAGGTGGGGGCAAGGCCTGGGTAACCTGCGCAATAGGTTATCAGTGATCTCCCGCTAGTGGAGAGATGTACTAATGATGTACCAGCCATGACTGTGGAAGCAGAGGAAGGGTGGAATCTGGTCCCAAAAATGTGTCCTGACCTTCAATCCAAATACAGTCACCAGAGTTGGGTGAATGCATAGATGATTAGCCAATAAATCACAGTTATATATAAATAACCTATCCCTCACTGATCACTATATGTCACAAACATGCATGATTACTAAGTTATACTTACTGATGATATGGAAGATTCATAACAAGAAATGGAAGCACAGCACAGCTAAATGCAGTGTCTGCACAGATGCCAAAGATGTTAGGGGACTGAAGATTCATTCCAGGGCCCAGAACATTTGTTAATATATGATTTATACCACTTGCTCCTGTTATAAACTGAGTCCCAGTCTTCCATATATCAATACTGATTTGGATTACAGATATTGACTTCTGCTACCATCATCACAGTGAGAAAATTTGGAGCAGGATGGCTATAATGAGAATTCAATAGTCTTCCCATAAACCCAATACAGAGTTTTTAAGCATTCAAAAATTAGAGAGGGAAAATAATATTTTTGTGAAACTTTTTTCATCAACTATAGTAAGCAGGATTAGAATGCAAACTGGAAAGACAGAACTGGATGTGATCAGTTAGATTATTGGATCTGCCACAAGAATAGTTGGGCATATCAACTCAATAATGAGAGATTATAAAAAGTTTGTGTAGAATCATTGCCAGATACTAAGCAAAATGATTGAAGTCTATGAATCCACTGGTGTCAAATTCAGTTCATCACCATCCTTGGGTGAGGATAGATTAATCAAGTGAATTTGTATCTCAGAGAAGAAGAAAGAATTTATAATCCTTCAAAACAAAACAGACAGTTGACTAGCAGCAAGGATGATGGAATCCAGGCGCAGTTTGCAAAAGGATGAGAAAATGGTTTTGCTACCAATTGGAATGATATAGTAAATGGTATAGTGAATGACAAGCTATTACGATCACACACGAATAGCTAGAAAGGGATTTTCTGCAAATGGGAGTGGTGGGGATATGGGGAGTAAGAAACAATGGACTTCAAGCAAACTCTGGCCAATGCTGGCAGGTTTAATATGGTCTCCAGTGTAAAGTCTGGATTGACATACAAGTGACATAATGAGGGTAACTTATACACCGCAGAAATAAATGGAAGTATTGCTGTAGTGGGCTTATTAAACCATTAAAGAAAAATTTAGAAAAACTAAAGAAATACACTTTCTTTACAAATGAACAAGAAATATCCAAGAAAGGATTCAGTCACCTATGCTGGCAGAAGTCCACTTCTATCATCAGGAATTTATTGCATACTTAGCAGCTTAGACAGATATATATTGGAACTATAAAACGTAGTATTAATTCATCTAAAAGAACATGAAAAATATTGTCGGCTAGAAAAATTTGAAAAAACCACAATAGTTGAACACTTACTGCTACCTAATGGGCAGAAAATTCAGTTTAAAGACATATGAGTACTACCAATCATGTCAAATTATCATGCACAGTTCCATAGAGAAACTATTGAGATTTATAAACACAGTAATTTTTATAAGAAAAGACGAGTCTGAAGGTTAACAAAGCGTGATTTCCAGCTTTATATCACACCAAAATAAAATAGTCTTAATTAACACTTAAAAATCTTTAGCAATCTCACCTGAAAAACAATAAACAACAGTATATTTCAAAGAAAGACCAATCAAAAAAATTTCTCCTCTGGAGATTCTTCAAATTGGACCAATTATATTTTCATCTGGATGAAGAATCAGTCAGAAGCTACGTTTTCAGAATTCCAATGACATGATCCAATTAAAAATTAGTTCAGTTACAAATACAAGAATGCAAATCAATTCCTGCTCAGTAGTCTGTGAACTCCCAAGTGTACCACAGAGCAGACCAATTTCATCTCTGAAGTTGCCAGTCACAGTTGCCTCTAGATGCCAAATAATTAGAATGCAGCCTATTAGTCTGGAAATTCATCACCACTGAACTGAGATCATTCTTTACTAGGAAGCATTCTAATTACAATTGTGGCAGTATTTCAATTTCCCCTATTTTCAGACCGTTCACCTAGCATCCAGGGGAAGACCAGATCACAGTTGATGTTGCACAGCCGATATTAGGAAAAGAATGCACTGAGGTCACTCTCATGATTTTCATTGGAGCATGATATCCAAACAGGGTAATTCAAAACAGCCTCAAGATTTATACCTTCACCATTGTGCCTGAGACCACTTCAACTAGCTTGGCCACAGCAGTCAATGAGCAGCAGTTTAGATGGCATACAAATAATTTTCTTCTGTCTGACTCTCAAACTCAAGCCCATTTTCATGAGATTTCTTCTGAGCAAAATGTAAATTCTATAGACCGCAACTATAATAATTTTAGTTTATCAATATTCATACCATTTATTTTATAAAAACCTGGTATACAATTACTATAAATACAGAATTTGCAGAATGGAAATTCATTATACCATTCTATAGTCATCTTAATGGCATTAATTTGTATTATATCATACGTAAATGAGATATTAAATATTTACAAAGTGGTTAAGATAAAGAGATAAACTCTTACTTATAAAGAAAAATATCCATTCCTGGACTAAATGATACCGAATCCAAAAGAAGGCCCAGAATAGAAAGAGCTATAACTCCAGACATGCCAAACCATTCAGCTGAAGATAGAAAGGGGGGGAAAAGTCATTATTATATAAAAGTAAGCAAGTCCGCTTTAAAATTAAGCATTTGACAAAGATTATATAGTGAACTTACCAATAAAAAAAATTATGTATGCCATAGAGAAGCTTAAAACTACTTCAATTATTCCATCATTGAAAATATGTTGCAACCAATAAAGAACTAGCCTTGAACTCAAAAATCCAAATGCAGCACTTGCAAAAAATTTCAAAAAGAGTTTTAAAAAAATCTCTTGAACTATAAAAGGAAAAAATAATTATTTACAACTTGATTGTTTTCATTAAATTACATTTAATAATGCATATCTAACTGTATCATAATTTTAATATTCCCATTTTATATCCTATACTGTCTAGATGTCATATTCTTGCCTTACTCAAATCAAAGTAATACTATTTAAAACAATATAAAATCTTACAGTGAAATAAAACTATAGACTTAAACCCATTGATTCAAATGGAACTATAACATGATTAAGATAGGATGCAAATGTAATTGGAACCATTCTGAGGACAATATGCATACAATAAATCTAAAATATGTGGGCACATTTTAATGGGCAACAAAAATATTTAATATATAATTAATATATATAATATATTTAATATATAACAGCGAATAGATTAGAAAACACTATGTCTTTTTTTTTTTTAGCTTGTAAATTTTATTTGAGTTTTCACAAAGAGAAAAAAAAATACAAATAAAACATCTTTTTTGAAAGTAGCGTAATCCCGGGTTACATTTCTTCGTACAAACACAAATTCAGGTTCATGCTCATTTTTATATTCTATTCCATATCTTATTACTATTTTACATTTTCTGCATAGCTTCTCCCCTCTTTTAATTTTCTCAATTTTATTTAAATTATCTCATCTCAATTCAAATCATTGTATTTATATTTTTTGTCTGTCCTGTTTCAATTATCTATTATCTTTTCTCATTAAACAAAATTTCTCCTGTAGTTACTGATTGGAGTATGACGCCTTTATATCTTTTCCCTAAAGTTGTAACATTCAATATAATACATAACTCCCATTCGGATTCTGCTTGATACATTCTTAAAATACACACTGTATTCTTAAAAAAAGAAAAATTATAAATGTAATTAAAACAACATTCCATTCCAATTCAATTCTATCATTAATATTAATATTCATTAAAGTCTTAACATCTTTAACATTACTTTTCAATTAAATATCATACTTCTATGGGAACAATTATAAGCTTTCCATAGTTAATTCCCCCCCCCTTCACTTATATTTTATAAAACATTAACTAATTAAAATGTTCCCATTCCTTCCTAATTCAATTTTCTCATTTATTTTATTTCATTTATTTTATTCACAAACATTTCACTAAATTACACTAGCTATTTTAATCAGTTAGATTTTCACTCATTATCTCTAAATAGTTCCTGTTTCTCTATATCTTGCTCCAGTCCTTTATAACTTCTTTTCTTTTCCTTCTTCCCTCTCTTCTTCTCTCTCCCCTTTTTACCCCCTTGTCTCTCTACCTCTATTTCTCTCTTCTGTATTCCCCTTTTCTGTTGCTTTCCAGTATTATACTTATTTTTCGAATTATTTTTCTTTTCTTTGGTTGTTTTTTTAAGTCTTAAATTCTCCATTCTCTTTCCCCCCTTTCCTTTTTCTTCCCCACATATAATTATTTGTTCATTAAAGATGGCTTCTTCTTTGTCCCAGTCTTCTTGTTTTGCAGTCTTTTCTTGTTGTTTCTCATAGTTCCAAATCTCCATTTCTAAGAATTGAAAAACAAAGCCAAAAGAACCCTTCCCTTCTTGTGCATCTTCTTTGTACTTTTTAAGTTCCATTTTCAATTCATCCAGAAGTGGTGCCATTGTATAAATTTTTAAACAACCACCCGATTGATTTTAGCCATTCAAATATAATAACCAAGAATCCAAAAATCACCAAATAATCCAAATACACGCAAGCTGTTTCTTTTTTGCTCTTTTTTTCACTTTCTCTTCCTGGGGTTTCTATTTAGTTGCAAAGATTCAGTTAAAATGTATCTTTTAGAAGTCTTGTTGAAGTTTACTGTAGATTCTTTTTAATTCCAGGCAGTCTCCTCCCTCTTCCAGATCCTGCCCTTATTCTTTTTCTCTCCCTTCCTGCTTATGAAAAAGAAAATTTTTAATGTCCAGAAATCTTTATTATCCCTTTGGCATTTTGTTTTATTTTCAGCTTAATTGCCTATTGATGTCACAGCGGATTTTTCCGATTTCTTATTTAAGTCTCTTAGTTGTCAGTATAGGGAAGGAGAGAGAAGGAAAAAAAAGCCAAACCTTTCCCTTTTCACTTTCCTTCGCTGCTTCCGACTCTTCTTTGGGAGCGATGTTATTTTTTGTAAGTTTAAATTCCAGGGTACCTTAGTTGTTGCTTTTGCAATTTAACCCGGTCAGCCAAAACTTTCACTTCTTATCTTCCTCCTGCACATTCTTTTCCGGTCGAGTTCTCCTTTGAGGTGGCCATTTCTGACCACCGCTACAACCGCCTTCGGGAAAGGGAGTAATGACCAGCTGAGGAGGAGAGATGCGGCTCTCCTCAACCCTGCTGGCGGTCTCCCCTCTCTTCACCATCTCTACGGGGTGGCTTAGCCCCAAAATCAGCCGGCTCGGGGCGCTCCAGCGGCGAGCCCAGACAGAAACCGCGCATGATCGCGGATTTCTGTCTGTCGCCGAAGCCCTTCAAACCGGAAGTCCCAGAAAACACTGTCTTTTGAAGAATATATATATATATATATGGTATATATTTCAAAAATATTTGAATAGCTTTAGGAGTGTATTATTCAATTGTGACTGTTAAATAAATTACAGCAAAAATTATGTCTAATACCTATTTTTTAAAAAACACATAAATATATTCATATATTAATATTTAGAATATTTTAGAATGGATGTTATGGACATATATAACAGTACAACTACTGAATACAAGATAATCCAGCCTTCAAATAGCTAACATAAGGTCTATGTGGCTCTAACCCTGGCAGCTTTCAAAAGGACTTTGAAAAGCTCTACCCCTAACCTAAAATGTATATTCAGGCCTGATTATAGTACTAAGACAACATTGATTTACTTGTCAATGATCTCTGGCTAGCTCAGGTAGTACATCCATCCTGATCTCAGTTGTTTTTGATACCATCAATCATTGTATTTTTCTGGACCAACTCAGTGGGCTGGGAGTTGGGGGCACTATTTTGTGGCTCTCATCCTTTCTTCCAAGGCCAATTCTAGAGAATAGTATTGGTAGGAAAGAAGAGTTGAACCCAATGACCTTGTTTGGACAGGCACCTCTTAGCTGTATCCTATCCCCACTCCTTCCTATTTAACATTTGCTTAAAGCTACAAACCAAGGTTATATGTCAGTATGAAGTGCAGTATCATCAATATGCTGATGATACCCAGTGGTACATCTTTTCCTGGCCCAATCAAGTGATGTTATGAAAGTCATTTCTTACTGACTGGAGGCTACAAGATTATAGATGTAGGAAAACAGGCTTCAGCTGAATCCTGATAAGGTAGTCATTGTGACCTTTAAGTCCGCCCTCCCTCCCCCCTGGATTTTCCATCCTAAACTCTGCACAGAGGTGCACTTCTCCAGTTAAATTTGGTGAACAATTTGAGGATGCTACTGGACTTACTGCTCCTGTAGAAGAGCAGGTAGCAGACATGGTCAGGAGGGCTCTTCTACAGGTATGTCTTTGTCCATTCCTCTACTAGAAAGCTTTGCTCATGTTGACTCATTGGGATTACTGTAGCGCACTCTGCAGGGGCTACCCTTGGAGACCACACAAACACTACATCTGGTTCAGAATGCAGAAGCATGGAGATTTGGGGGCATATCTCACTATGTGCATGAAACATTGTTGCTCCATTAGCTGCACTGCCTCTCAGTAGGCTTCCAGATATAATTCAAGACACTGATTATTGCTTACAAAGACCTCCATGGCACATGACCAGGCTACTTGTGCAACCATCTTTCTCCTATTGGTCCTGCCTACCCCATCAGATCTGGTAAAGAGTTTTGGATTTCCTCTATTAAAGAATGTCATATTATGGGACCAGTCATGCTTTCTCAATAGTACCATCTGGTCTGTGGACCGGGTAGCCTCATTCCCAACATTTGAATGGCCCCAACCCTGGTAGCCTTTCACAAGGCACTGAAGTTCTGACCATTTCTGGAGATTTTGCCAGGAGGCAGATGTGTTTTCTTTCTATTGATGATAACTGGGATTAACAGTGTATTCTTGGTGCCAGAGGATTATGTTTGGGGTTTGTTTGTTTGTTTGTTTTAATCTTGTGAACCACACTTGTCTGGAATTGGTAACCGTATTGAATGATCAGATGCTGTCTTGTTATCTACATGGCACTGCCTTTAGTCTGTTTGTTTTTTTTAGGTGCTCAGACTCATTTTGAAGTCAGGGAACATCTAAATCTAATAAAATAAAATGCGTTTCACAACCCATATTTTCTGCAAACGACATGTAACAGATTCTATAGAGCAATAGTCTCCAACTGTTTTGGTTCTGCAGACCAGTGATACTGGCGATGGCTTTGGTGATTTCGGTAGCAGGGGAATGGTTTCACACACACAATCTAAATCCCATGAATGCGCAAATGAAGCTTTGTCCATTCACCCACCCTTCAGCAGCCCAGTTCCCAATGGACCGCGAGCCATGGCCCAAGGGTTGGGGACCCCTGTTATACAGTAATTATTTCTCATAGTGTACAAATGCAGTGAAATAACAAACTGATTATCATTAATCACTCTATTAGGAAGCATGACAATGATTAATAAATACTAAATATTGTAATTCAAATGGCCTTGCAAATATATAATTAAAAATGATCTGCTGAGAATCATGATATTACTATATTATTCTATGCAAGAAAAAGTTACATAAAAATAGACACATACCTACTTCCTGGTGGCTCTGATTTATAAGGTCCTTATACAATTCAAAAATAATTACTGTAGTTGCATCATTAAACAAAGATTCACCTTTAATTAAGTTGATAACTATTTTTGAAAGGCCTAAGAAAAAAATATGAAAATTAATGTAATTTATTCATTTATTTGTTTATTTAAGAAAATGTATATGACTGCCCAATTCATTCTCAGTGACTCTGGGCAGCTTACAAAGATAAAAGCCAAATAAAAACACAATAAAAAAGCCATAACCCCCCCCCCCATGACAACTATTTAAATGAATTAAGATTCACTTTTAATGTTAACATTTCTTTACTTGTTAACAAGAAATCTAATTGGGGGGGACACATTACCGCACTTAAATTTTTATCTAAAAAGCAATGATGAAATAACAGCATCATGATATTCTCAATATAAATCCCATTACCAGTTTACATTATGCATTCTCATAATGTCTCAAAGGTAATTGCTGTAATTGACCAAGCTCAGAATGAGGTGAAATTGGCAAAGGATGCTAGATTTCTTAATTTCTTACTTATATTCAAAGTAAAACAATTACTCTACAAGTTGCTCAAATTGAAGAGATAGGAAATTATCAGCACTGAGAGGTCGTAGGAAAGATATGATATTACAGTACCTGAAATAATATTGCCCAGAATATCAATTATCCAAGGAGTTAGTGGGCTTCTCTTCAGTGGATGTTCCAAGACAGGGGTGTCAAACTCAAGACCCACTGGCCGCATCCAGCCCATGGGGTGCTTAGATCTGGCCAGCGGGGCTGGCCTGGAAATAGTAAATGACTGGCCCATGGTGCCTCTGCTAGCAAAAATGGGGCATGGGGGGCATGGGTAGCCCCCCTCCCATGGCCCATTTTGGCTGCAGGGTGCTGCAGGAGGTGTCCATCCCATCTCCTCCTGCCGCCCCAGCTGGCTTGCAGAGGACAACTACAATGCTAATCTGGCCCTCCAAGAAATCCAGTTTGACACCCCTGTTGTAAGAGGATGAATATTCTTCTGTAAAAGTACTTTAATCTATACTTCAGTAGTGAACAGAAGTTTGGATTATTGATTAAATGGCCCCTTCAAGGTCTAGGATTATATGACTTTATAAAATTGAAATCAATCCTAATGTACTTTCTATCAAATCTATGAATCCTGTAGTCATTCATTATTTTTTCAGATGTGATTTCAGGGGTGGGATGCTACTGGTTCAGCCCGGTTCTGTAGAACCGATAGTTCCAAGGAGCAGCAGAAAATGAACTAGTTTGCTGCAATGATCTTCTGGTCACCTCTTTGGCCCACCCATCCGCCCAGGTTCTAGGCTGTCCTCAGTCTCTGCTTTTTCCTCCTCAGCTGGTTTGCATGGCACAGCTGAGTGCCGTTCATCAGAAGGTGAATGGTTGCCGGACGCAGTTACTTTGTAAGTAATGCGCACGCACGTATAGTGTGCATGTGCACGCATTTGGTGTGCATGTCTGTGAAGCGAACCGGTTGTTATGCCGGTAGGATCCCACCTGTGTGATTTGGACATATTTGTTTTAGCATTCCCCACCCACCCACCCACCATACCTCACTGTTGATGGTGGGAGAACAATATAAAGCTATTATACTGACCAACATGGCTCTAGTCTAAAGAAAGACCTGGGGACCTACTCCAGTGTTCCCCGCCAACAAACTTTATGGATCAACTAAAAATGTGGAAATATGGTACCAAGCACTGTGTCCCCCTGGCTTGGAGGTACCAATAAAGCTACAAGGGAAGAGCAAAGACACTATCATAGTAGCAGGAGCATCCATGACGTGGATGGGATAAATCCTAATGGCCCTCCAGCTATTGAAACAGCTCCTCATGAAAAGAGGTATCTCCGCTGTTCAAAGACCTTCAAATTAAGAACATGTAATATCAAAAAAGAAATATGAATATTATTAAGAACAAAATGAATAGGCTCAAAATTGACATACTAGGCATCAGTGAAGTTCATCGGACTGACTGTGGCTTCTTCAACTCTTATGATCATATCAAGTACTACTCTGGCAATGATACCATCAGAAGAAAAGGAGGTTTCATACTGCATAAAAAAGTGAACTTCTTACTCACCAAGGTTTTTTACAGAAGCTACAGAAAGGATAGGATCTGTTGTACTAAGAATTATGCCAAACAGCATGCTATCATCCCAAGACCAATTGTATTTATTAATTTTATAAGTTATCCATCCAAGGAAAGCACAATTCATCAAAAATCCAGGAACTGATAGAATTACCACCTGTAATAAACAATGTATCCATATATTTTTGGAATTCAGATGGGTATAATTCATTTATATTATTTGAAAATCATTTGTTAAATAAAATGCAATTAAATGATAATAAATACAGAAGTTGTAAATATGATTTTCTCAAATTAACTAAAATGTAAATTGCATACAGGTAGTCCTTGCTTAACAAACATTAGTTCAGCAACTGTTCAAAGATGATAGAACTGAATAAATTGTTGTCACGTTTTCAAAGTAATACCATTGCAGCGACCCCCAAATCATGTGATCGAAGTTCAGCACTTGGCAGCCCACCTACAATTATGACCAGAGCATATGTTTCAACTCCCTTCACCTGCCTCCCTTCATCCCTGCCCTTTTGACTAACCAGCCCTTTGCCCCCATCTATTCCTGGAGCCCTCCCGCCCTATCTTCTTCCTCCCGCTGCTAGCAAGGTACAGTGGCCAAGGCAGCTACTGGTCCTTTACAAAGTGAAGTGCAGGCAAGCATGGCAGAATAGGAGAAGCATCTAATGACAGTGCAGTCCTTGCCTAACAACTGCAATGAGAAGTGCCATCACTAAGTGGTGCAGTCATGTGGCATTCTCCCTAGCCACAATTTCATTTAGTAATGGAAATTGTGGTCCCAATTAAGGTCATTAAGTGAGTACTGCCTGTACTTACACCAGGGAGTGATACATTTAGAAAAGTTATAAACACAAACTCTTCACATTTCACACACTTTTATTCATATTTGTTACAAAAGACTATAATATATAAAATAGTTGTACATATTTGGTTCATCACAGCTGCATGTATGGAATATGTTCAACAGGAGGATATGTGGAAAAACAACAACAGTACTGTGGAGAATTAAGATTAACATAATGCATCTGACAGAAAGAGAAATAATGGTGATATTATATATGGAGATGGAGATGTGCACTTTAGTAAGCTTAATTATCTCTTAGTTTTTTTATTTTGTCAAGTGATTGTTAGATACCAGGTATAAGTATAAACATGGTTATGAATACATGAAATGGATACGAATAAGAAACAAACAATAGGACAGTGATGGTAGGCAGGTTGGTGCGCTTATGCACGCCCCCTACAGACCTCTTAGGAAAGGGGTGAGGTCAATAGTAGACAGTCTAAGGTTAAAGTTTTTGGGGTTTGGGGAAGAAACCACAGTCAGGACAAGTATTACAGACATTGAACACTCTGTTGTTGAAGTCGTATTTCCTGCAATCAAGTTTGATGTGGTTTACCTTGAGTTTGTATCTATTGTGTGCTCTTGTATTGTTGTGGTTGAAGCTGAAGTATTCATTGACAGGTAAGACACTGCAATGTATAATTTTATATACTATACTTAGATCAGACTGAAGGCGGCATAATTCTAGATTTTCTAGGTCTAGAATTTCAAGTCTGGTGGCATAAGCAATTATTCTGCAACTTGTAGAGGAGTGGAGAACTCTTCTTGTGAAATATTTCTGGACTTTCTCAACTGTATTAATAACAGATACGTAATGCAGATTCAGATTGATGAGCTGTATTCAAGTATTGGTCTAGCAAATGTTTTGTATGCTCTAGTTAGTAGTGTGATATTACCAGAGAAAAAGCTACGTAGGATTAGGTTAACAACTCTTAATGCCTTTTTGGCTATGTAGTTACAGTGGGTTCTAGTACTTAGATCATTAGAGATGAGTACTCCAAGTCCTTGACAGAGTTTGGATCATCAGCAAGATCTTGACTATTCAGCTTGTATTTTATTTTCTGTTGTTGTTTTTTTGCCAATATGTAAGACAGAGGATTTATCTGTTGAGATTTGAAGTTGTCATTTGTTTGACCATTCTGATACATAGTCAATGTCTTTTTGAAGGGTAGCACTATTGTCTGTGGTGTTGAATAGCTTTACATCATCAGCGAAGAGAACACAGTTGCTCTTAATATGATCACAGAGGACATTTATGTAGAGTATGAAAAGAGTTGGTCCTAGAACACTGCCTTGGGGGACACCACTGTTGACAGGTACAGAATTTGATAGGACGCTCCCAATTTTGACCATTTGTTGTCTGTTTGACAGGAATACTTCTATCCAGTTATGCAGGTGTCCAGATACCATAAGATTTTAGTTTTAGGAGTAGTTTGTCATGTACCACTGAATCAAAGGCTATACAGAAGTCTACGTAGATTGCGTCTATTGCTTTGCCCTGATCAAGTTGTATAGTTCATGTTGTTGTAGTGTAAGAGTTGCAGATTACAGGATAGTTTTTTTCTGAAACCAAACTGTTTGTTGGAGAGTAGGTTGTTTGCCTCTAAGTGGAGGATAATGGATTGGTTAATAATTGATTCCATGACTTTACAGGTGACGCAGCATAATGAGATTGGTCTGTAATTTTCAACTAGGTTGAGGTCTCCCTTTTTGAAGATGGGGATGACCGTGGCTAGTGACCAAGGTTTGGCAAGGAGCTGGTCCTGAAAGATTTTTCAAAGATTATGCTTAGAGGTTCGGCTATGGCAGTGGATGGCTTTTTAAAGAAGTAGGCACATATTCCGTCCGGTCCAATAGATAGAGATGGTTTTAGATTGCATAATGCTTTTTCAACATTGTTCAATATAATTAGGTAGAATTGGCTGAACAATCTCAAATTACAGGGCAATCTGTACTGTTCCTTTTAGAATATATTCGTGGATAATATTTCCAAGACTGATAGAAAGGAGAGAGAAAAATTAAACTGGAAATATAATCCCCAGATTATTTTTATCTTGATTGCAAGATCTCCTTCAGTAACAATGGAAGGATCTTAGTCAGCCTAATTTTTTTCTTACCTGCATCCACACTGTTTGAACAATGCCGCTTTGAAACCAATCTGGTAAGGAACTTTACAGTTAACTTAAAACAATGTTATTCAATGTGTTACATACATCAGCCTTTTCTTAACAGACTGTTATTCAAATAATATATTGCAGAGTCATCAACATCAAGACAGTTTCATATAGCCAAGGTGTTATTTCTTTTTGTGCTATCCTGTTTGTAACTTGTTAGAGACAAAGTCAAGTAGTGACACAAAGTAAGCTAATATGCAGTGCTCATATGCAAAATTCAAGATTTGAGATAAACCAGACAGAATTGAGATCCAAACAAAAGGTTCGTACAAAGGTTGAAATTGACAAGTCACTCAGCAGCCATCATAGGCCCAAACCTTACCAAAACACCAAAATTTCCTTAATCCTCTCTCCTATTAATTCATACCCCAAGGCCAGCTCTCACATTAGCCTTCATTCTATCCTCTAGAGTCTAAACCTAAGAATAACAATCCATTCTTCCTATCACTCTTCCAGCTTTTTCTCCCTAACAGCATTGTATAAACCAATGCATAAACAAAAAGAGTTTCCACCAATAATATCTCCGTAGACCATCCTCTTAATCAATGACCATCCTATCAGATAACAGTTCACATTGCATTGTTACAAAAATTTCAAGTTGTACCAAGCCAAACGGCAAGTTGTTTTGACAGATCTGCCCAGGCCCAGCAGTTTCAAGGCTCAGACATGTGAAAGATAACTGCAAAAATCCAATTCCACACCCACGCCTATTATGTTCTGTTGTGGAATAATACAGCATGGAATAACAGACCAGCTTTGGACACTCTTCTCAGATTTCTTCCTTGGTTCTCCCCCTTCAGTACCAGCATTTATCAGCCTCTATAGATAAGGCTCCATATACTACAGCCTGATTCCTCTTATCACATGCACGTTGTTTGCTTTTGTCTCAGTAGCACTATCTTAATACTATGCTTCATGCTGCAACCTTACTGTGCAATCTCTATTTTTCCTGTAACACATTTAAAAATTCCCTGCTTTTGCTCTTGCTTTCTTTTCTATCTTAATTCCACCACTGGCCATCTCATTTCAAAGCAACCCTGGGTGGCTTATAACATTAAAAGCAATAAAACTATAAAAGATAAATATTCTAAAAACAATAAAACTACAATCCAAAGTAAAGATAAAGTTTATGACATAACACCTGTTAACTCCCAAATCCACCAGATATCTGAACTGTAATCTCAACTCACTTCCACTTACCTTCACTTTTAATAAATGTCAACCAATTCAACTACATCCACTTTACTCATATAGCCCCAGAAATTTAACAGAAAAAGGATATTCTCTGATCATGATTCTATCAATCTCAATTGGCTTTTTTTTCTTTTCTAATTTTTCATAAAGTTACTTTGAACAAATATATGGGGGGGGGGGGTATATCAGCTACCCAATTGACAAGTTGGATATCTATCTTGAGAACCTCTGAAGGCCCAATGTTTTTTGAAACATACAAGAAAATCTGAGGAAGCCTTACTGAAACAAGAACTGAAGGGATTACTTCCTGCCTAGTAGTTAGTAGTTCTCTGATGAATGTGAAAGACTGTAGCAGGACTTTTGTTCTCTTCTTCTATGGCTGAGTAGCTTAAGAGAATAACTTCCCCAGAAGATGAGGGTTGGAGAGGGAAATCATTTGCTCAACTTATTTGTAAAGGTGCTTATCCAAAGTGGAACCACAAGGTGGCACTAATGTCAAAGGAGAAAATCTTTCAATTTTTCTTTTAAAATAGTAGTCCTCACCTCTACCAAAAACTTTTTTGTTTTGTGACACTTGAGACATTATTTTGGCTAGAGTTCTATATTTGGATCTGAAAGTATTCCTGGCTGACCTTCCTTCTTTCAGTCCCCATGTGCCTCTAATACTATTAGCTTAGATCCAGAAACTTTATTGTCCAGCTTTGCAGATAAATCATTTTGGGATTTTTTTAAAAAGGGAATTTACTTTTTGGCAAAGAGAAAAAAAATGCCTTCCATTTTAACTAAAGGAAAAGTGCCATCAACCTCTGTAAACTTTTAATTCTAAAATTAGGAAGTAGAATTAGAAAAGTACAGCATGTCAGTAATTAATGCAAATCACATGGAAATTGGCAAATATTATGCTTATAGTTATTTTAGATTGGAATCTTGAGT